CGATCACAAACAATTGTACCTATAAATTAGTTCTATATTTTTTCGAATGGAATAAACACTTGGGTGAAATATTCTTCAACGAAAAAATATTTCTACTAATTTAATTATGATGGGTGATGTCGTTATCCCAGATAAGACTTAATTTTTTTTTTAATTTATGGGGAACGTTTAGCGGGTATTAAATTACTTAATCAAGATGCTACAACATATTATCAAATAATATGTTGATGAGATCTAACTCAGACAGATAAATTAAGCATGTAATATAAATCTAATTTATAAAGATATATAATCAACAATTAATATCAACATACTTACAATAATAATAATAATTGTAATAACACAACCGAAATATATAATGGAAATTAACAAGATCCTTAATCTCTAAGATATTTAATCCAATTAAATTAAGGTTATTTTAATTTCATTATCAATAAGAATGATAACTATTTTTATCTGATAAGGATTGAGAATCCTTGATGCGTTTACTAATGTACGAAGTAAGAGGAATCAACTTATGTTTACAATTTCTAAAATTGTAAAGAGTACTTGGTTAAATCCAATTTCCAAAATAGGTTTTAATGATTCACGCACTTTCCGAAATTCTCTAAGGGACTTTTAATTCAATGTATTTTCCAAAAAAATAGCACAACGTTAAAAGAACTCTATTCTGGGCACAATTTGATGTTCAACTCCAGAATTGTTCGTCGTGGATTTCGTCGGAAGAAATTGGTTCGAAATTTTCATCCGTCGCAAATCCTCCGCTGTCATGTTATTGTCCTTTGTTATGGGAGAAAACCCAAAAGCTGCAGCGAGATCTTCCAGTCTTGAATCGCAACTTGTCGAAAAAGGAGCGGAAGGAAATCGCAAGAGAGAAATACATCGTGCAAGGAACAAACGCAACACCTACCTTTTCTCTTAGAAACCATTCGTAATTAGGATATCCCAGATTTTAAATTCTAAAAAAAATAGGTCAATTAATATAAACAATATCTTTGACCTACGAATTTATTGATCAAATTTCGTATAATGTCATTAGAATCAGTTTGGCTCTGATACCACTGTTAGGAAATTGATGTAACGTACCTCGAAAGTACGGCAGCGGAAGTTTAAAATTTTCCCAAATAGATCTTCCCTGATTATGACAAAATAACGAATATGATAATAATAACAGATCTGAGTTAGAACTTACAGATCTTCCAGCCTAGCGGTGATAATCCTTGACCTTTGGTATCCACGTGATTTCTCCTTTCCGAAAGAACGGTTAGATTTCCCTAAGAGAAAAGCTAGGAAATCTCTTCGCAGGGAAATAAACCGGTAATACTGAATATTAAAACTGATGTTGAATTATGAAGGAGAATGGTGTATTTATACTAGTTCTAAACTAGTTTCTCAATCACAATGAAAGTCTTCCTAATTAATGAGTTCTAGTCCTAATAGGACCAATACCCCTTATTAATTAAATAAGTAGATTAAACAAAATAATATAATAATAACAATAACATTAGAGAGGTGGCTGCACGCCACTCTCTACTTGTTATAAGTATTATTATTTATTTCATTTTCTTTTCTTTTAATCCCAAATAAAAGAAAATACCAACTTTATTTAATAATAAATACACCTTAATTAGGTATAATAAATCTAATTTATCATACTTAATTAATTCTATCGGATAGAACTCTCCTTCAACTTCATGAATTAAATATGTTTAATCTAATTAATATTTAATTCATTCTCAGTATTACTAATTAAATATTATTTAATCTAATTAATAATATTTAATTCCTTCTAACAGTTCAATCGGAAGGTATAATCATTTGCTGTGTGACCCATAGGGCCTTATATATTGAGCACTAATCAAATTAAGGTCTTAGTAGAATCCCTAGACGATTTACCAGACAAACTTAATATATAAGGACGTTTGTGAGGACTATTCAAACTCCCTATAATATAGAGCTCATAGTGATACGGTCCTTTCATTCAACGAACATTCAACTAAGTCTGGAACTTGATATTGTGTCTATTCCAATAACTTAGTCTCTATCTCCCAATCTCTCTAGATGATCCATAACGATCATATTCGATATCCAAAACGAATATATCTTTGCATTGGCCAATGACTTTATGATCCATCTAGATATGAGAAGTAGAATGTTCTCTCTTAATCTATTACGAGGAATGAATCCTTTCTTGGCTCAACTACTACTCCATGTGCTTCGTGATGCACCCAACACATGCCGTATCTACCCCGATTGGAGTGCAAGCGTTGGTCATGGTCAAAGTACATCACTCTGCACATGTAGTACGTATTGACCTCAAGTCGGAGGACTATTACACTACTCTATACGCCGATAATCCCATAGACACATGAATAGAACTTATCAAATGGTTTCTCGGTGGGTATGTCAATATTCTCTAAAATATCTATGTGACCATCATGAATTACAGGAACTCATAGTCGTGAGATCAATTATACTTTCTAAAAGTATGATGCAGTCCACATACCAATCTTATCGCATATCATCAATATCCCATTCTTGATGATCATTGATTGGGGCCTTTTTAGGACCTTATGTTATATCATATAAGCTCCCACTTACTTATTGACAACATAAGTCCAAGGGAACACAATTATGAATAAGACACTGACAATCGAAATGCTTAATCATCAATGTGTAATACCGTATATATCAAATATATAAAACTGAATGTGATCAAGTACATATATCTCTAAAAAGTGATTGTCGCTAGGACATATATACTAACATTATGTTCATGGACGCCTTGTATGATTAAGACACGTTGACTTGCGAGTGACGTCACTTGGTCATACGGCGGTTGTACACGCGCCGAGATGCGGTCTGGGGCGTGACACGACTTGACTTCTTTGGTTAAAGATTTCTTCTTAAATCCAAAAACCCAAGAACTCAAGGTCTGCGGCATCTGTTCAACACAAGGGCATCCCACAGATTCTTGCCCAACTCTACAAGAGGAGAACTCCGAGCAAGTCAATGCTTTGGGGTTTCAAGGCCAAAGGAGGTACCTAATGAGACTTTCTTTTTAAATATCTCTATTTGTTTGGTGATTTGTCCAACTCGCCACAAACATATAGGTAGTATATTGTACTCCCTCCGTCCCGGAATTATCTTCATACTTTCCTTTTCGGTCTGTCCCAAATTTATCTTCTCTTTCCCTTTTTAGCAAAGAATTTGTGGTTCACAATCATTCTTACACATTCTTACACGTTTCTCTTTCCTCTGCACAACTCTCCACCACACATTTCCCACTATCTTAATATGTGTGTCAATTGTACTTGTGAAGATAAATATGGGACGGAGGGAGTACAAAATATTTCAAGCACATGTTTATATTTTGTTTCAATGGAAAAATAAAATGGAGCACCTAACAACGCATCTTCACATACCAAGACCTATTATTTAGATTTGGGTATAGGTAGACGAGAACAAATAGTTAAACTTGGTATTGCTCTATCCCCCCTCATCCTCCAAACCCACTATGACCTTCTAGGCTTCTACTACGTAACGTTCAAACAAACAAACTCTAATTACTAATGAGTAGTGTACTAATATACAGACCAGTCAATCTTGTTCCATAAGCTTGCGACTCGCGATGGCTAAGCCGTTGAGTAGCTGACGAATGAAGGGTGATACACTTATGTGACGAGTGTATCAACATAGAGATTCCGCAAGTCGAGGCACAAAACTTTGTCCGAAAGTCTTATTCAACTATTTTATTTAAAATTATAAAAAAAAAACTAAATACACAATATCATATTATGGATAAATGATTTTATATCCATGTTGTTTGAATAATTTTATTTATTTTTGTTAGTGATCACTATTCATTTAATTACATCTATATTGTTCAAGTTATTTAAATATGTTGAACTGCTTAAATATACTAATAATAATAATTATTCAATATTGAATATGACATCAATAGATTATTAATTGTATTTTGTAACATTTTAATAATGGATTAAATATGTAGTTGGTACACCGATTTATTATATTTTCTTAGTCTATGATAATTTTTAGAATTGGGGGACATGCATGGTAATTTACTGATACCGAACCGTTACCGAACCGGAACTTCGGTATACCGAAATGCGGCATACCGAAACTTCGGTAAGGTAGCGGTATATAAATTTTGTATACCGAAATTTTCGGTACGGCAAAGGTATGAGAGAAAATATTCGGTATACCGTACCGAACCACCCATAGTTTTGATTAGTACTCCCTCCGGTTCTTAATTAAGTTTACACTTTGACTTCACACATACTAAGAAAATAAATTTACTGAGATGTAAATTTTACTGTAGAGTACACTGTTTTGACACTGTTTTGCACTGTTTGGTGTAGATTTGTTTGCCAAATAAGGCAAATAAGGAAGTGTAAAGTTTAATATGGGACGACCCAAAAAAGAAAGTGTAAAGTTAATTAAGAACCGCATGAAGTATAATACTCCCTCCGTTCCCCAATTAAGTTATGTGTTTGACTTCACACATATTAAGAAAATAAATTTAATGGGAGTAAATTTTACTGTTTTGACACTGTTTGACATTGTTTTGCACTGTTTGACACTGTTTTGATGTAGACAATTTGCCAAACAAAGAAAGTAAGGAAGTGTGAATTTAATTTAGGAACTGCCCAAAAAGGAAAGTGATAACTTAATTGCGGAACGGAGGAAGTATTATGAAAAATAAAGCTTATACTTTTATGAATATACTTTTGATTTTTTATAAATAATTTTAGATATGTATAAAATTGGTCAAAGTTTTGAATTTCACTAATTATTAGAGAGTATGAGGCATTATTCAGTCGGTCAAATCGAGATTTTATACCTGTGCTATTTGAAGAAATGCCCTGTTCACCAACCAGAGCGCTGACCGCGAGGACACGTCCAGTTCACCAACCATTCGGTCTCCTTCCTTCGTGACCCAAAATACTGTATCAATGAATAAACAAAACAAAACAAACCAAAGAAGCCGTCACGACTCACGGCCCGATGTATGTATATATAAACTCCATCCGATCTCCGCCAATAGCAGCAGCAGCAGCTGGCTAGCCAGTAGTATACATGCATCATCATTAATTAATTATTATAATTGCTCAATCCTCGATCGAGTTAATTAAAATTCGACCAACCTCCCAATTGAATTGAAATTGAATTAATGGAGGAAGTTCACATCCAAGAAACCGTCACCGTTCGCCCCTCATCTCCGCCGCTTTTCGACCACCACGCCGTCTTCCCTCTTTCCCACCTCGACACCGATCGGAATCTCAACGTCGTCTTCCGCTACCTCCGGGTTTACGTAGCCCACCACACCTCAAAACAAGCAGCCGCCCTCGACCCGTTCGAGGTTGTCACTTCGTCCCTCTCATCCGCGCTCGTCCGCTGGTTCCACTTCGCCGGGACACTGCGCCGCCGGGACGGAGATAACCGCCTCGAGTTGCGTTGCCCCGTCGGCGGCGGCGGCGTCAGGGTGTTGCGGGCTACGGCGGATTGCACACTCGGCTCCGTTAACTATCTGGACGACCCGGATGAGAAGTTCGTGGAGAGATTGGTACCCGACCCGAGTGTAGAAGAGGCGATGGCCTACCCGTTGACCCTGCAGGTTACCCGGTTCGGGTGCGGCGGGTGGGTCATGGGGACGGCCGTGCACCACGCGATGTGCGATGGGATGGGGGCCACGCTGTTCTTCAACGCCATGGCGGAGGTGGCTCGCGGAGAGGCGGCATTCTCGGTGGAGCCGGTTTGGGACAGGGCGGCTCTGCTCGGACCAAGAAAGCCGCCTCGGGTTGACTTTCCAGTGCACCAGTTCTTGAGCCTGGATAGAGATTCCGTGCCATATGCCCAAGCGGCCGGCGGCGTGGCCCGAGAGTTCTTTGAGATGAAGGAGGAGTCGTTGGAGCGGCTCAAAGCCGCTTTGCTTCACACATCCGCCGCCGGCTCAACCTATACCACCTTCGAAGCTTTAGGTGCTTTCATATGGCGAGCAAGGTACGTGCGTATGGTGTGTATATATATATATATCCTTCTCAATTCATCATCCACCTCCACTTCTTAAGATGGAGCATTTCATTTCGTCACTTCACTTTCCATTTGCATATTCTGATTTAGCTCTAAGAATTAAGCTTCTTACCCCTGTTCTCTGTTTATTAGGAAGTTCTTGCTCCTAAAAACGAAGAGAACTCTTGCATGACTAAAACTTATTAAGAGTGCAACAATGAGACTTTAAATTTTCCTTTACTTCCGTAGGATTTAAGAGAGATGAGTTGACATCAATACCCTTAATGAATAAATTAGTATATTTATTAATAATATGAACTAGAATACTAAAAGAAGATATAAGAAGCTACGGTTCCCAGTGAACATCTCCGATGCCACCTCCACCGCTACCACCAGCGTAGGCGCCGCACCACTACAGGCGCCGGTAGCCTCTGAATCTCTGACCTCATACACCCTTGCCGGTGGCCGCCTCATCTCTGACCTCATCTCCGACGTCATCATCGCCACATCTGATGATATCGCCGCCTCATCCAACATCAGTGTGACTCATCTGCGTGAGCAGTGAGAACTCAGGCGTCACCACCACTTCCACTAAGTCAACCACTGTAGATCTCAGATCTAAACTTAGATCAATCTTGTGTGACAATTACTCAAGTGTCACCTTGTAGTTGAAATGCCATCTGAGTGTTATTAATATCATCCTGACATAAATAAGATGGCATTTTCGTATTAAAGAACATGACACTAATGTCTTTTCGAAAATGTAATATTGCCATCTTTGTAACATTAATGTCATAAAAATGGCATTTTCGAAGTGAAAGTTTCAGATTCAAAGCAGTACAATTATAGAGGCATTCTCATAAAAATGACATATTTCTGAAATCAATTTTCCAATATATGGTTTTTAGGGGGGTGAAATAATTTTAATTATGCCATTTTTAAATTTATAAATAATAAAAAATAAGCAAACGAAAATCAAATTAAATATAAAAAATCTTGAATTAAATTAAAAATTGACAAATAATGAAAATAGAGATGATGGAAGGAGGAGGAGGAGGAGGAGGAGTAGTAGTAGTAGAAGAAGAAGAAGAAGAAGAAGAAGAGGACGAGGAAGTCATACCTGGCCGCTGCTCACTGGTGGATGCCTCCGCTCGCTGCCGCTTGCCACCACTCGCCGGCCACCAGTGGCCAAAAATGTAGAGAAATTTCTCACCCAAACCTCTAAAATTTGCCGGAGATGAGAGAAATCGAGATCAGAAAAATAAAATTAAAGTTATTAAGGAAGAAATGAGAACAAAAGAGAAGAAGAGGAGTTGGATTTACATGGATCGATGGTAGCTAAAGAGAGGTGATGGGTGAGGACTAAGTAGGAAAGAGGCCAGGAGGAAAAAAGAAAAGAAAAGTTTGATCGATGCGTAAAAAAAAGGTTGGGGGTGTGGGTATAATAGGAACACTACTTAAATTAGTCTTGTTTAGAGAATAAATTAGGAGTAGTCCTATTTAGGAACTTTCCAATTATTTTAGTCTTATTTAGGGCAAATTCTTATGTTAAAAATGATACACCAATAACATCATAACTATCGTTAATGACTTCATTATAACATACATACATCAAAACCATTTCTCAAAATATACACAAATACGGAGTAACATATTTTAATTACGGAGTATTATCTAAATAGTTGTGTCATTTCAATGAGAAGCTTAAATCCGGATGAAGGTAGTAGTTTTGTAAATTATACTCCGTACATGTAGTAGGACCGGTCCTGCTCATTACTGGGCCTATGGGCGGTACACTATCCTGGACTTATACCCAAGACAAACCGTAAACCATATACTTATTTGAAATATGAATTAAAATAAAAATATCCAATGAAGTTCATAAAATTAAGACTAGAATTACTTTATTATTATTTAAGTTACATATTTGGTCAAAATTAACAACACGAGTATCGGATAAAAAGAAAAAACTTTACTAAAAAACGTTTCTCGTAGAGTAATGTGAAACAAATCATCAATAACCGCTTCATAGGCAAACTTCTTTCCAATAATAAATATGACAAACAATAAAATTGCCACATATAACAACACTTAACTTTCTTTTGAAATGATAAATGAAAAAATACTACATATTGAATTCATAAGTTGAGAATGATTTATTGATCGCTAATGGGAGTCTAAAGTTTGAAGTCTCAAAAGAATGAAGGTTTTCAAAGACACAAAATGTTTGACCTCAAAAAAGACTCGCTCAAGAAGTCTGCCAATTGGACCTCCTCTAAAACTACTACTCCCTCCGTCCCATTAGAAGGTTCCCGTCCACTATTCTCATGGTCAACTTAAATCATTTTTAATATTTTACTTTATAAAACATTTTTTTTACCAAATTTACATTTTTTGTCAGCCTTTGTAGCGGTTTTAATATAGTTTCTGAATATGTTAATTTTATTTACTAAAAATAATCAGAGTGTGAATAGGTATTAAATTGCTTTATCGTCAGTCAAGCATCGTAAATCGTTCACGGGAACCTGCTGCTAGCGGGACGGAGGGAGTATTAGGAACTCAGATATAGTTTATTGAAATTTGAAAACAAATAAATAATTGGGATGAGATTTGAGAGAGATAGGCTCTAAAATAATTATATAAATTTGTTATGTTATAATTAAAATGAATAAAAAGCCTTAAAGGCTAAATAGATGTAAAGACTCAAGATGCATGTCTTTTATCCAGCAACATTTGTATTGCTTTTAAAAATTACAATTGATCCTACTTAAAATTAATGTATATTTTCTTTTATAAACTTGGCTCTGTTTAAGACTTTTTGTTTACATTTCAAATTTTCAAATTGTCAACAACTAAATATAATTAAACATTAGGCCTAATTAATTGAACTTAAGAATAAAAAAAGAAGCCTACTCACACTAATATAAAGAAAAAAATTTGGGCCTACTTTTTCTTCTATTTTTTTCGGGCCTAGAGCGGTCGCCCTTCTTGCCCCCCAGAACGGCCTTGTGTCATGTTGTTTTAGTTTGTTTATTTAATTCAGTAGAGTCTATTTAAGTCTGGTCTAATATGATTTGACAAACTCATCGTTTAGTGGTTTATGAGTTGTTATTGTTGTTTAAGTTTTGTTTAGTATGTTTAATTATATCAAATGAATATTTTAACAAAGTTATCCACTAAGATAATTTTTTACCAAACGTGTAACTTTGATTTCTCGAATTGAAATTGTTGAATGGAACTATTTCAACTATATTTTAAACATAAATTTCCAGCCTTCAACAGATTTGGCCGATTTCATTATTAATATCAATCACATCATATATATATACACACACACACACACACACATTACCATCCGTATCGTAATAGTTGCAACGTTGAAATTTATACACTATTCATGTACTCTACTTTGACTACATTTTATTTATTAATGTATGTGATTTTTTTGAAAATATTATTGAATTCATCTCAATACAAAATTTCATAATCAAGTTTTTAATTTTTTTACTAATAGAGAATTTAATATAATGATATTCAAAGTTATGCATTGACAAACATGAAAAAAGGAATATTGCAACTAAAAAAGAATGACGAAAGTATATACTATGTGCTAGATACTGGTTCTTGAGTGTATACACATATTATATATGTGTTAAACAATTATTATTGTGTGTTATTTACTAGGAGTAGTTTAAGTTGTATGAAGTTCTTAATTATGCATTAGATGTTAATTCTTAATTCTTGTGCGTCATATACTTATTTTTGTGCTCAAGATACTTGTTAAAGTATTTTATATGGAACTATGTGTAAGATATCTCTTCATATGCATTAGACATTAGTGTAGTGTGTTAGATACTCGTTTTTGTACGTTATAAGTTGTTGTGATTTATTTTCATATGTTTCTTGTTTATTATATGGGAATTTTGTGTAACTTCTTCATGTGCATTAGATACTGATTGTACTGCATTGGATGTTGGTTCATGTGCTCTTCTTGCAACAGACTCATCTTCAATCTTTCAATGCACTTTTCACATAAAAATTCAATGCACCATTCATCTTTGCTATAATATAGTTCTTTCCAAGTTTAAGGTAATGTTTGCAAACAATTAAAAAAATGATTTTTAAGTTTTTGTTTAAAAAAGTTAAAATAATTGTTTTCAAGTAAAAAGTAAAAATTGTAAGCCGGTGAGGAGATGCTTTGAATCGCTTTTCACCTTTTGTATACACAAAAAATACGCATTTTATCAAATATTACCAACTTTTATTTTTTTCAAAAACAATTTTTCTCAGACACTATCAACTTATATTATTAAGCACTTTCTCCAAAATTCATCCAAAAAAATCGCGTGGGCCTGAGCCGTCCCTGGCCCTAGGCCCAAGCCGCCCTTGCGGTGATCCACAATTAAATTAGGTGTCCACCACATCTTTTCTTAACATCTTTATTACTTAAGATAGGCAATGAAGATATGTTTTGCTGGATAAGAACTACATTTATAAATTGTGTCTTTATTTGAATTTTTTACGGATGAAATAGTGTGAAGGCGTGTAAGATGGCGGAAGAGGAGACGGTAAAATTCGCTTACCAGAGCAACATAAGGAGAAAGGTGAAGCCCCCGCTTCCGTTAGGTTATTGGGGCAATGGCTGCGTCCCCATGTACGTCCAGCTCGCCGCTGCTGATCTCATTCGACAGCCGCTGTGGAAGACGGCAGAGTTGATCAACCGTAGCAAGTTCAACACCACCGACGACTATGTCCGCTCCTTCATCGACTTCCAAGAGCTTCATTTCCACCAAGGGATCACTCCCGGGAACCAGGTGAGCGGCTTCACCGACTGGCGCCACATCGGCCACGCCACCGTCGACTTCGGCTGGGGTGGCCCCGTCACCGTCTTCCCTCTCACTAGGCACTTGCTCGGTGGGGTGGCGCCTTGCTACTTCTTGCCCTACTCCGCCGCCGCCTCTGCTGGAGCTAAGCAGGATGGGTTTAAGGTGTTGGTGTACGTGCAGGAAGATGCCATGCCTGCGTTCAAGGAAGAGATGGAGAAACTCAGTGGCGGCGGCGAGCTTTTGCTTTAATTTCTTCACTTTTTCGGAGTAATTAATTTCCACAACTACATCATACCTTTTGTAATGTTCCACGCACCAATTATTGATGCTTCCCCAAGAAGACTGGTGTGATAGGTTACCGGTCATAAACTTAATTCATCCATGTCAACAATAATTGTTTTTAATAAATAAAATTTACATATTCGAAAACTAAATCAAAAGTTTTATAATATCACAAAAACTCATACTATGTATTTGATAAAGTTGGATGTATAAAGTAATTAATTAAAAAAATTAAATTGATCGAAAAATAATGGACAAGAATCCTTACTTGGAACGAGGGTTGTACACATCACAAAACTATAAGGATGGAATCAAAAACAAGAAAATCGTTACACCTTAGATTTGGAGTACCCATCAATGCTAAATGTGAAACTCTACTGCACTTTGTATTGACTGATTGAGAGAAGATAGTAAAATACGTACTTTGTGCTAAAATGATTTATGTCAAAACAAACTACTTATATTTATATCATTAAGAATCAGATCATTACAACAAACTCAAAAGATCAACCCTAACAACAATTATCCCGAACCAACTAGCACTATCAACCATACATGCATACGGCTAGACTCAGAGACGATCACCTTTGAAAGAGCAATACGAATCGATAACCACTAAGCGAGTGTGAATGTCACAACAATCACTGGCCATATAGATCCTTCTAACTTCATAATATCAAGCAAAATTGTCAATCAAAATTGTAGACATAAAACTAAAGACATCAACAAAAAAACAGAGCAACATAGAACATAACGCGAAAACAAAACCATAAAAAATTAAATAGCTGATAAATCTTCCAAACCCTAGCACCTCGATCGCTCCAAGGTGGCAGTTCAGGAGGGGGGCGGACCGCCGATCTCTCTTCTCCCTTGCTCAACCCTTCACCTCTTCCGTCTTCTCGTCGCCCGTTCCACCTCCACTATCACCACCGCCCTCTACCCATGTTGATTCTCCAGAAACTAACCCTTCGACCTCCTCCTCGATCAATTGCAGGAATGAGACAACACTACTCTAAATTATCCATAGAAGACATGATTATCGTTTCTTGAACCTTAGATTCGTTTCCAAAAGTTGCAGCCGCACTCACGTCTCCTTAAAAAACACTCTAGAAGCCTAGAAGAAGTGCCGCACAAACAATTGGCAGAACAAAACCCTACGCGACGACAAAGCCGCTAGGGAGAAAAGTGACGGGCTGCTCCCAATATCAGTGTTTCTTAATTAACGTAGTTTTACTTTATTTACTTATTTAGCATATAATTTTTTTTGTTATACTTTAATTTGGATTTTGAGACTTTAAGGATTTTTTTATTCTTTTCATCTAGTTCTTTTTATCCAAATTTTATCGGGTGTCCCCGAAGGGACCATCTAGTCCTTTTTATATTTATCTTATATTTACCTTATTTTTTTTATCTTATACGTGATATTATCTTTTTATATTTCTTATCTTTTAGCTGCGTTTTCATGTGTCGCTTCATGTTAGTCGATCACAAAATCTTTTGGGATGAATGCTTGAATGTTATTACTTATTACTTAAAATACTTAGAAGTTTTCCAATAGTTGCACACTTTATCATCCACACAATATGTACATTGGAGAATCTATATACTTGTGAGTCCATATTTGATAGAAGAAGCTATGTTGGAAGGTTACTAGTTAACCTTCAATATAATCATCATTGTATTTGGTTAACTCGTAAAATCATATTCTAGAAGCAGTTCGCGAGCACGTAAAATCAACTCCCTTATGGTTTATGAATAAAAGTTTTTTTATCTAAATATGAATTTGGTTATTGCCCGAGAAAAGAAGTGCGATTGAGTGGATTAAGAAATTACATAAAGATTTTCCAAATAAAGACATTCAGTTGTATCAAAAGGGGGTTTGATATTTAAATAAGATTTTTCTACCATCACTAGAAAGATGGCAAAAGAAAATGTTACAAATAGAAAAATACTTGTGGTTCGATACCATACACTCTCGACTCTCGAGGAGGAAGTCACATGATCCAAATTCATCCTAACTAAGAATGTGACATTTAACTAGGACATATAATCATATACTAATATATTTCGTAAGTTATAAAACACAGTAAACGGGGAGGTAGTCATCGTCTCTTTGACCCATTCACCCTTCCGAGACCCACCCGCCATTCGAAACAATGACAATTGGATCTAAAACTCATCTTGTAGATGACCCCCTTCTACATCATCTGATGAAGACACAACATAAGATGAGGATGAAAAGAAACCCAAGCTAAAAGAATAAATTCATCAACTACAACAACTTGAATCAGAATCCAATTACGACTCTAAAGGAGAGGACGAGGAGAAAACAACCCATGCACCGATTCAGCATCCTCCGATGAGGAATCCTATTCCGATTCTGATTCCAAGGAAGGTCAAGCTTCACCATTCACATTGAGATTCATAGTACTGCCTCATCTAACTTCCTCTTAAAAGGTTCCTTCATCTTCAAAGCCTCCATATCAAAATCGTGCCTTGGATGTCAAAGAGAGATATTCAAAGAAGATGAAGAAGATAAAATATGCGAAAGTAGATGCCTCTACTAAGGAAAAGGAGTCTGGAGATGACCAACTACACAATGGTGATAATCATAATGCATCTCTCAAAGATGTATTAAATGTCAATGAGATTGAGAAAAGTCCAGGTGATGTCAACAACATTATAGATACACGGAATGCAAATGAAAGTGATGGGAGATTGATGTCCAGGAAATGATGAACAAGCTATTGTGGTTGAAAAAGTTCAATCTAAATACATCTTTTGGTTAAATATCTCAACAGAGGATTCTATCCACCATTTTCAGATGCGACGTTGGATATGGTGAAGGAAAAAATGAGTCTGATGGAGAGTTCCCGGGCCACTGAGGTTGAGGAGAAATGGACCAAGATGTTGGAAGAGCATGTTGATATTTCTATTAATGTCGCAGATTTGGTAGCTTTGAAGACGAGAATGGTGTATGATTATAGGAAGAAGTAACTTTGGACTGCTATGAAGATGTAACTTTGTAGATGCAAGTTCTTAATTTGTCTAGTAGGCTTTTTCCAGGGTTGAAAGTTGAACTTGCAATACCGTTGTTCTTTAGCTTATGTTGAATGCTATTTATGGTTCCATTTGTGAGATTGTGATTTTGCATTTATGGGTTATTTTAATAGATAAAGGATAAAATAAATATACCTCTTAATTTACAAACTACAAACTCATCTTAGTCGTCTGATGAGTTGATCTAAAAGCAATAAACGCATAGTACAAATATTTGCACAATAAGCAATTTTTGTACCTGATACGTCCCCTATACAAAAGGATCAAATACAAACACCTCATAATTCACAAACTACAAACTCATTTTGGCCATCCGATGAGTTGATTTAAAGGTTGTAGACACATCACTACTAGATTTTCTCTTATTTGTTGCTCCTCATTTACTGCGGTCCAAAACAAAACCGCAACAATTAATGAATTTTTTTTAGCATTTGATGCGGTCATAAAGAAACCGCAGCAAATAAGTACACTTTTTATAGTTATTGCTACGGTCATGAGTGAACCGCACCAAATAACAATTCGATTTTTGTAAATATTACTACCTCCGTTCTTACATAAATGCAACACTTTGACTTTTACACTATTCACATGTTCTACTTTGACTACGTTTTATTTATTAATGTAATAATATTATTTTATGAAAAAAGTATTGTTAAACTTGTCTCATTGTAAATTTTCATAATCTAATTTTTTTTAATTTTTTTACTAATACAAAATCATTTATATTAATGGTCAAAGTTGTGTCTCGGCAAGTGTGAAATGTTGACCGTTGCATTTATTTTTTTCCTCACCTTTTGCTGCGCTAGAATTGGGACCGCAGCTAGATATTACCTATTTGACGCGGGCACCTGAAAATCGCAGCAAATGCGTTGCGTAGTAGATAGGGTTTTCTCTAAAACTGCCAAGGAATTTCACGGCTTGCATATGGATTCTTCCTTATTCCGAATAGATCGCCGCACCCCTCCAAGCGGTACACCGCCCTCACATCCCTCCCAGCGATACACCGCCGTCGCATCCCTCCCAGCGCACATCGTCGTCTCCTACCTCCCAACAGCAATCCGCCATCGCCGTAGTCTAGGGAACAAGCTATAGTCGCTGCTAGGCGTGGAGTAACCACTGCTCCGAACAGCAATTTGCCTTCCCCTTATTGACTCCTCTTCACATATTAGAGGTTTATTCCTCAATCTTGTATAATTTCAAGTAGTTTGCTTTAATCTTATTTGACTCCCAGCTAATTCTCCGCCACCGGTGGTTCTCTCAACCAACTGTTGTTGATTGGTGTCGCAGATGATTCCTCCGATTAGGGTTGTCAAAGGGTTCTGCTAAAGAATTCAATCTTGTTTTCCCTATTTTTTTTATACGCACGAGCTCTTGAGATGTATCCGCAACTGTGAAATGGAGACGGGTGTTTTCAAGTTCCTGTCTTTATATGTCTATATGTGTGTGCCTAAGGCCTTTTTTCATTGTTTGCTCGACTGTTCCAGCTTCTTGGCGTTGCAAGAAAAAATGGCATGGTAAATTTTTTCTCTGAAGATAATCACTTTACCATTGTATCATGTAAACTTGCAGAGTAACTATTAGTTGATAAGTTCTGAAACCAAAGGGAAATTTGAGAACTGTAGAGCTCTGTTTAAAAGAAGCGGGACTGAAATTTACAAGTTTGGTGAATGCCTGTTTCCTATCAGAATTTTAATATATCTGTGCTAGCTTGAGGTGCTTAGCCCTATCAATGGTGATGTCCGTCTTACTATTCCGAGCTCTAGTACAAGTAGCGGTGTGAGTGATGATGATGCTATTGTTGCATTACATCTTTTCAGAAAACAGAGGGAGTCATCAACGAGGTGCTAATTTTGTATATTTGTTTCATGTGCTTGTGAACATTCCTCAATCTGATTCGTTTGGCAAATCCAGTCTAAATGTTTCTGCAATTTTTTCATATTAGGTCGTGTACTTTACTTACATGCACAACAAAAGGACATGCAAGTATAAGGTCATTTGAATTCCCCAAGTCACCAGGAGACTCAACCTCTGACGCCTCTCAGACCACATGGAATACATGTGATTCGGGTAACATTTTGTGCTCCAAAGTTGA